GGTAGAGCAGGTCATCTACTGATCGGAAGGTTGGCGGTTCGATTCCTGGCTTCCCCTAGTCTGCATGCCAAATATCCTTGGGCAAGATACTAACCCATCCATCGGAGTGTGAATGTGTGTGATGAAGCACTTAGAAAAATGTGCTTGTGTGAATGGGTGAATGCACAAGTTGTGTAAAGTGCTTTGAGTGCTCAGATGAGTAGAAAAGCGCTATTTAAAATATATTGTGAATGACATTAAGTGAAAATTAAAATGGAAGTATTGTGAATGTAATATTACCCATTTAAATGTAATTGACTCAGAGTTTATTATAAATTTCTATCCAGAAAAATAATTTCATCCAATGTTTTTGCATTCAGTCTGTTGTGTTTTTTCCCCAGCTTTGGAAAACTCAGGGGCACAGATGAAGCTGGGGTACACAAAAGCTGTAAAGCCCGGTGGAAAAGGTTCTGATAAGATGTCTTCCTATTCCCCCAGTACGTTAAAGGATCCTCTGATCTTGGAATGTTTCTCTCCGACACTCTCCACAATACTAAGGTGGAGAGTCCTTTATAATAACATTCAGGACTGCCTGGCCCAGAACAGTCTTCCTAGATGCTTGATTTCAAAATAATAAAACACATATTAATAAAAAAAAATGATGATGAAGCTGTTCAGTGTCAATATAGGCCTACCTCTGTTCATTGTCAGTGTTTGTCTCCTCATTGTCATGTTTGGCTCTGTAATGCCTAAACACTGAGGAGGTGTTTGATAGATTACACTGAAACAAAGACAAACAGTTACCTTATTTCCAGATAAAAGATCAAAATGATCCCACACAGCAGAAACGTTTCTTTTTCTTTCGGGCGCCATTTCGTTATGGAGAGATTTTTTTTTTTAATCTTTGCAGTAATTTTGTGTTTTTTTGGTGGCGACTCGTTCCGTTGACAGATGCGGATGCAGAACCTTTTAAACACAGTTTGGCGCGTTGGCAATGAGCGATACAGTAGCTTTTAGTGATACAGTGACAGTGACTTTTTCTTAAAGCGACACACGCACCTATACAGGCATCGCTAGGTGAGCTTGATGCAAGCGTCGGTGCGTCAGTGTTGCTGGACCCATCACTAGCAAACAGTATTATTGTCAGTGAATAAAATTCTGCTGTAGGTAAATCAGAAGGACGAGCTCACTGAAGTAAACTCAATAAAGCCGACACCGTTTAGTATTTTGTTCTCTTTAGATGCACTTTGTGGTTCATGGTGTTCGTTGAATTTTGAAAACTGAGCAAAATCTATAACACATTACACTTTGCAACTTTACCGATCCATGAAGGGAAACGGTTTTTAACAGTTACCAGGGGAAACCACAGAAAAATGACAAATTAAAAGTGCTAAAAGTGACACAAACTCCACGTTGTGTCATGAGCCTATCAACACAGATGGCCTTATCAAAAGGACAAACTTCACAAAGAGAAGTGCCATGAAGTTTTCTCCAAGAATCAAGGCCTCTGCAGACTCACCTCGTATGCAGGTCCAGCAGTCCTCTCTCCTGTTGTGTTTCCGCAGTTCTTCCTCAGTAACTTCAATGAGGCGCCCTCTGAGTCCAGTAAGATCTTTTCCACTCTTGGCAAACCGAATCCAGTCCATGAGACTGTGGCCCGGCTTCAATGCCACCTTTGAGGGCAGAGTCATGAAAAACGTTAGGAACTAATTTTAGCTTTTAGCTCTGGAGCATTGTGGAAACTCAATTCTGCTAATATGCCAGATGTTAATGGTGTGACATTCAAAACTCCAAAACTCTAAGCGAATAAATACCACTCTCTAATGCAAAACATAAATCTGCCATAATAGCAACCAGCCTTGTTACTTCACAAACACAACTGATGCATCCCACGAGGCAAGCTCTGACATTATTTTATTTATTTAGCAGAATATTTGCTTCCGCCACTGAAAAAACAACAAACAAAAAACATTTTCACTTTGAATAAATTAGGCATGAACTCGTTGTTGGATTCGACATTTCCAGATAACAACGTGAAATCTTGATTTATATGTGGCAAAAAGTGTTGTTTTCATGAGCGGAAACACACAGGTGTCTCCAGATTACTCGGTTATTTCCACTGTGAGTTTATTTTATGTGCCAAGTTGAACTCACTGACTTATTTGCCAGAATAGACGCTTTGATTTATTAGAATTATAAAGATAAATTTAACAAAGTCAATTGCGCAATAAATATTTTGGAGGATAATTAATAAATGGTTACAAACGTAAAGAAGGGAGAAAGCGCATCAACACAATAAAGTGTGTAACGGGCGTGTGCGGGTTTCACGGGTGTTCGGGGTCCATAAAGTGAGTTACCTTGTTCCTCCCGGACTGGCCGGACGGAGAGACCCGCTGCTGGGAGCTCGGTGCCGGAAAGGACTGGGTCGGGACGTTTAGCATGTTGTGAACGGTCCGGAAGCAGCCCCACTTTCGTACAAACCCTGTTTAACCAGCGGCAGTTTAACACAGTCACACAAACACCAGATATCACAGTGCTGTCATGCTGTCGGCGGTGCTAGCTCAGGACACATCTCAGCCGAGCAGTGCTGCTAGGCTAAGCTAGGCTAACAGGTCAACGCACTTTAGAGGTAAATCTAAAGAGTGAGATTTCGACTGAAGTTAATGTTCGCGAGTTGAAAGAAATATTTAATAATCAAATCCGGTAGTTCTCTTATCCAGGATGTAAGTGCGAACTACCGCCTGGCTTGAGCTTCCGTAAATAAATAAGACTACATTTGTCGCACAGTCTGACGACAAAGTCAACACGTGAAGTCATCATTTTGCGACGTCGCTGCTTTGCGACCAAACAAGTTTAACGTGAGCAGATTATCTTTCTGTTTTCTTACGATAAAAATATGAATTTAAGAAAATGCTCGATTATGATCCACCAGATTCTCCCGTGTCTGAGAGCTGAGACAGTCAGTAGTTAGTGAGACAGTCATAAGTTTGTGGACTTCCCAGTTGTTTAGCTTCTTTCTAGACTTCAAATCAGCTAAAGCCTCTTTCCAGTCTTATTGACCGAAGTCATTAATGCTGTTCATACTTTTAAATAAATTCATTTCAGCTCAGTTTTATTTTTATAATACCAAATCACAGCAAGAGTTGCCTCCAGGTTTATATTGTATGACAAGGATCTTACAATAACGCAGAGAAAACCCCAACATTCAGACTACACACAGTTGGCAATAGTGGGAAGGAAAAACTCCCTTTTAACAGGAAGAACCTTCCAAACAGGCAGCAATCTGCCCCAACTGTAAACACTGTAAAGTGAGTTTCATCTTTCATCAATTAATTATGTTTTGTTGCTTTCATTCTGTATTATGTGTGTATTTTTCTAAATCTATAGTTTATTCTACAATTCAGCTGCCAGTGCACTAGATAGATGTTTCCAACACAACTCTTTCATATGGACACGCTTGTATCAGTAAACCCCAGGTTAACTTAGCAGGCTGATAACCAGCATCGTGCAACCACTTATCCTGACCGTCAGTGTTAGGGGAAGTGCTTCCAGGTCATGAAAAGATACTCTGGATATGTTGAACTTGCTTCATAGTACAGAAGGCTCAGAGTGAACTCTAGAGTTACCCAGATAAGCCCAAACCCTGCCTTGTAGCACAGGCCTCGGGGTTTCCTCGGGCTGCTGCAGGTAAGACATTTACAAACAACATCAGCAAAACATTGGTGACACTGTGTGATGTCTTTGGTAGGGTGTCACTACAGAGCAAGAGGAGCTGCATCCAAAACAACGCTGATTACACCATTCAGAAAAACTCACAACAATTCAAAGTTAGCTTGAATAGAGTCGGGTTAGTTACACTGACATGAAAACACACCTGAAATTAAACTGCTGAAAAAAGTGACAACAGATGAACTATTTCCTCCCTCACTCCCGCCGTCATCTTCCTCCTCCTC